TTGTGATTATGTTTGAGAATAGTGTGAGATGAAAAGGAGAGAAGAAGAAGATAGGAAGACTGATAGAAGACTGAATGAGAGGAGGAAAATGGGAGCACTGATGGAAAGTTTAAGAGAAGGAAGTAAAGTTAAGAGTAAAGAAGAGAGCAGGCAGAAGTCAGGGACGGGCACACCTGGATTAATTTGCTTTTCTATAAATGAAATAAGTAAACAAAAGAGCAGCTGAAGTCCAGGAAGTAGTGGAGCTGTAAATATTAGTGGGAAAAATTAAGCTGCTTCTTTAAGATAATAATAATTGAACTTAGTTAATCTCACACTCTGTATTTATGACTTTATTCTCGTAATGTTACGACTTTATTTTCGAAATAGAAAAAAAAAAATCTCACGGGTTCACTGTGAGCATTGGGGAGAGCTGCAAGCAGTTTTAAGTACCGAGGGGGGGCAGGAATATTCATGGATGATGAACATTCCTGCTAAATGGGAGGGAAGCTGGGATGCAACTATTTCTTCTTTTTTTTATTACTTTTTATTTAGTATTTTTCAAGTATGCATAGAACACACTAAAATAAAATTCAAAAAAAGGGCAACAAAAATACAACCAAGGTATAACAGAGTCCATGTTTAGTGGATGTGGGGGTCGCACGGGTCTTATAGATTTGTCCGGTGTTCCAGTCTTACTGAGGGTAAGTCCTATCTGATTTGTGTTATCAAGCCACTTTCTCACTCATCAGATGTTGGAGGGTCACTTTTTAACCATTTTCTGGTAACAGCGTTGTTAGCTGCCACTATCAAGATTTGGAGGATAAAGATGTCTTTCCTGTGTATCTCTTCACTCTCCAGCCAGCCCAAACACACAATACGTGGGCCCTTCTATGTCTTTTATCCTGTTATTTCTTCTATAGCCTGAACAACTTGATCCCAGTAGGTCTGTATGTTTGTAGCCAGATAGCCCAGACTAAATGTGAGATTAAATGTGTAATTTAGTCTGGCCCCGATGAATGAGACACCAGAAGATTGTTGATGAGCAACAACCTGTTGGTTTTTCAAACCATGTGTGTTCCTATTGGCCAACGCTCTGACCAATGAGAGCAACTGACTGTGACGTAGTAAGAGCGACAGAAAGCTGGTGGGGGAGTGTAAACAAACAGCTTGTTGGTAAAACGGCGAATACATCCTTCTTAAAAATGAATTCGCGTAGAGCCTCTTCCTGCTCAAGTTTCAACGTAAACCCCAAGTCTAATCCTTCCAAAGCTGAGTCAAACTGTTCAACAAATAGTTGTTGCCATCTTCCTTGTTGTGCTTTTTCCAGCTTTGTCGTCACACCCTCAAAACCCCGCATCCAGAAATTCAAAACGCATCTCTGCGTTGTGATTGGCCCGCCAGTTCTAGGCCCTGGGGCATTGATCGAGGCTAGACCCACTTTGGCCGCTAGTATTTTTGTGCATTGCCAAAATATATGATAGTGACACTGGCATTCATCTGTCCATGTTGCTGAGAATGGAGTAATTTATTTTGTAATTCAGGTGTTATAAAGTAGTGTTGCACCGGTATCAGGCAGGGCCCCGATACTGCATTAAGATGGTGGTATTGGTATTGGCGAGTACCAACAAATAGGGCACCAACACCATTCAACTATTGTCACCCAGGTGGCCAATGAAAAGTTCTACTGTATTAGTCTTTTTTTCTGCTTCACAAAGGTAGGCAGCAGCTTGACAAAGCCATTATTTTACATCCAAGTAGTATGCAGTGCTTCATATACACACACATTAAACTGATTGTATCGGTGTGGTATCTGTATCGGGTATTGGGGCCAAAAAATGGTATCGGCGCAACACCATTATAAAGTAGCGTATTAAATTCCCTCCAGCCTCTAGTTTCACTTTCAATTCTGCTTCCCTTTTGGACTTTATATAGAGCGAGTTATTTCCACTTCAATTTTGTAGGCTTTTATATATCTTAGAGACAACTTTGTTAGGGTTTTCATGTATGCATCCACAAATAATTGAATCAATTAATTTCCTTCCGGTGGGATGCAACTATTGCTGAAGTGTTTAGAAATGGGCCGGAGCTCGTCGTGTTACGATCTGATCCAAGTGTCTTAAGTTTGAGTCTTAAGTGAAGGCGCAGTCCAGAGGAAAGAACGGTGCTCCTCAATTCTCCGCTGTTAGCCTCTATAGCTAGCCCCGGTTGGCCGTTTCTCCGGCGGATTGGGGCTTAATGTTCCTCATATCTGCCTTTATGTTTTGGTTGAAGGTTTTCTTGGTATTCATAAATCATTGTGGCTGAAAGCACGTGTAAAATCCTGTCTGAATGGCTACCTCTGTTGTTGCTAAGCAAAGGTTTACCCCTCCTAAGATGGCGGTGATGGTCTCTAGGCTTGCACTGCCATGCTATCAATATTACAAGTAGTGATCGGTTTCTGTCGTTCACCAGCAGAGCAGGTTTTGGGGCAGAAACCAGAGCAGCAGATTGAATCACACAGGGTGTGTCTGATTTCAGCGGCTGTGTCCTCCAAGGACCCGTTCTACGTGGACGGGGTCCCTGGTGTACGTAGCCATTAGATTCAAACACAGCAACTGTCTCCTTCGTGTCTGTAAATCTGGGAATTAAGGAAAACCTGCAAACCAGAGCAGCAGTCATCCTGAAAATGGCAGCAATGATCAGAGTAACATTCTGTTGCTTATACAGTAGGAGGTTTGAGCGGAATAATTTGCTGTAGACCAGCCTGTCCAGGAGGGCCGCTGTCCTGCATGGCGGCTGCTGCACTGAACAAGGGGAACCTGTAATGCCTGCAGTACGGCGGCCCTCCTGGATGGACTTGGACCTGCCTGAGCTCCTGTCTCTAGCTGCTCATCCGGGAGGAGAGGCTCCTGTAAAATCAATGACTGGATGATCTAGTAGATATAAAAAGCCCTCTGATGACGTGTTGAGGCCAAATCTAGCTGCTGAATGTTCATCGGCTAGATTCTGATCCTGCAGTTTAAAGGATTTTAACCGAATGGTTTCACCTCCAAAGCAACTTCTTCAGTCAGCGTCTCTCCCTCTGCTGGATGATTCTGTTTTCTGTCCAAGCTGCCCAGAGAGCAGAGCCTCTCCTTTCCCAGCTCTTAACGAGTCTTTCCAGGTCAACCTGAAGACTCTAGACACGACTAAATGTTGTAGATCCTCAGGTTGTCATCCATTCTGCCTCTCATGATATTTTTCGCTCCACAGTGGCGTCTTAATTCAGGAAACGTGGTTTTTCCTTTAATCACCGTAGCAACCAGTGACTCAGCGTTATCTTAGCAGATTCTGGTAAAAATCCTTTGTGGTTTGTTTCGTATTAAAAGCCCCTAAATTACCAAGTGGTTTAAACTGGAACTTTCAAAATAAAAATCACAGAAACTGCCAAAGTGGTAGCTTAGCTTCCTTCTGGATCAGTTTGGAGAAATATTCTGGATTCCTGGTAGAAGCTGCAAAGGTTTCAGCTTTTAAAGGCCACTTCATGTTGCTGCTTCATATTTAGAGGTTTTTGCTTTTAGAGAAACGCTCCTGCTCAGCAGAGAATAGCTTCCTGATGTGGTCGTTTCATGCGTCATTCAGCCTCAGCTCGAAGCTTGGCCTTAATCCTAATCTCAGCCATCTCTGAACGCGACCCAAACATCAGTCCGATGGGTTCCGGGCACACAAAGGCAGGAAGCTGCGCTCATGATCAAACCTCTATAATCTTATCAAACCTTAAATAACAGATAAACATTGTTTTTATTTAATGACATGATGCGTTCAGGCCCCGCTAACCTCTGTGGTAACCATGCATTTCTCAGATCACAGCTTAGGGTCTGACTGAAGGTGAACAGCTGACAGGTGGGACCTCTGTCCTTGTTTAACGCTGCTAACTGCTGCTGAATCTGCATTTCATGCAATCCAGTTTGCATGCTGCGGCTGTGATGTCACGGCGCTGGCCTGCGTCCGATGGAGTTTCATGTTTTACGCCGTGGAGCGAGATGAAGCAGCAGGAAGGGCTTCTGTTATCCGAGTCTGTTTGCTGTTCAGTCTGCGGATGACTAACTAGCAGAGGTGGCGTCTGCAGGCTGCACGGACGTAGCCTGAGAACGCAGCGTCCAGCAGGCGGCTGCAGGACGAGCGGCTTCGAGCTGGGAGTGAGATGGCGCCGGGATGAGACAGGATTCTCAGGTCCCGCTGCAATCAGGCAGTCAAGCAGAACCAGAACCTGCAACTTACAACTATTTTGCAAATCGATTAATCTGTTGAAGGATTTTTCAATTAATTGAATGATAATTGGACAGTAAAAGGTTCCTTCAAAAAGACTTTTTACAAAATTAAAGCAGATGAAACTCAAACTTTCCACTTGTGGGTTTCAGGATAGAGCATATTGAAGATGCAAAAAATGCAAAATGTTAACATTTTTTTACACCTGGGCATAATTACTGCTCTAACTGGGTCACTCAGTCAGCTAGAGTCATATTTTAGATTCTCTATACCCCAGTTAACGATGAATCAATTTGTTTTTATTTCAATAATTGATTATTAGATTAACCTGATTGTTTCAGCCCTGCTTTATTGTCAGTGAGGAGCCGGAGTATTGAAGAGACAGAATGGAAATCGGTGCGTTGTTCTGGTGCAGCTGACAGAATAGAGGCAGCTCTGCACTGGCTCAGAGCTGCAGCTCCTCAGATCTCATTCATGGTTCTGCTTCTGTCTCATTGAACCCCAGTGGGCCTCAGCAGATGGCCGCTGACACTGAGCCTGGTTCTGCTGGAGGTTTCTTCCTGTTCAAAGGGAGTTTTTCCTCTCCACTGTCGCTACAAGCATGCTTAGTGTGAGGGATTGCTGAAGAGTCAATGAGTCGATGCAATCAGCTGGTTTTTCTTAGATAGAAAACTTTGAATCAATTTGACTGGATGATCTGGTAAATAAACTAAACTGAATTGGTTCTCTTCGGATGGAGATGGTTTTCTTCTTCTGTGGATAAAAACTGGAGTTTTTTTCTCTGAACACAGCATGTGGCGGGATTCGTCCTCTACCAGGAGTTCTGCTGCTCCTCGTGGAGCTTCGATGGTCAGACTTTGAGCGCTATTGGCGCCAAAAGCGGTAAAGAGTTTAAAAAAGTGAGTAAAGTTAAACTTAAGGATCTATTCTAGATCTGAAAGATGACAAAGTCACTTTATTACAGGACAATTGGATTCTTTTAGGAGAAGTTTATTCTTTTCGGGGAGAGAAATGTTTTGTCTTGTTTTGAAAACTTCCCCCTGAAATAAAGGTTAGCACAAAGCCAGTCGAGGAGGGCAGCTGTACTCAGGTTTTAGAGCTTTCTGATTTCCATTGATGGCTGATTACAGGCAGCTGTTGAACTGCAGCAGAGAACCTGTAACACCGGCAGGATGGCGGCCCTCCTGGATGGACTTGGACCAGCCTGAACTAATGTCCATCTTGACTTTTGGTCTGAGGCCAAACAAATCATTAATAGGGCCACAAACGGCCCCCAGGCTGCACTTTGGACACTCAGTCTTACAGTGCGAGTGATGAAGAGCAGATGAAGCAGAGAGCCACTGACTGTCCCCGTCCCGTCCAGGTTTTTGGGTCCTCGGTTCGAGTTCTCTCCCTGACCGGATGTTGTAAATGTTTCCCGTTTCTGTTCGACCGGCGGAGCGTCGTCAACCCCTGTCTCTTCACTGTCCAGAAAAGGAGGGGGTTGCTATGGCAACCGGGAGACGGACTTGTCGGCGTCCAGGGCTGGATTTCCAGCTCCCAGCGGCGTCAGGGTTCCTTGGAAAGGTCCCATATTTTTATTGGACCCAGATCAGCGTAGAACCGGGCCAAACACCGCGTCCTCCTCCTGCAGCAGCTTCACAGCCTCTGTTCTCCATCGTGGTTTATTTCCTGCGTCTCCATCTTTTGGTTTCCATGGCAACCCAGCAGAGGAGCAAGAGTCTCCTTCGTCTGTCCTTTATGATGAAGAGGAAAGGCAGTGAGCACAAGGAGTTACTATGGCAACCTAGGGTAGTGGCAGAGCACTGTTCTAGTTCTGAGAACAAGAAGCAGTACCTTCGGGCCGGCTGCAGGTTAGAAGGTTTGCTGCTCATCCAGCAGGAGAGGCTCCTGTGAACTCAATGACTGGAATGTCACAATAAAAGTGATGGATGCCTTTCATAATAAAAGCCCAACTTATTCTTTGCTAAAATGTTTGATGTAAGAACGGAAAATCAGTCTGTCGCTCCTCTGAAGTCTCTAGGTGTGTAGTTTCTCTGAAGGTTCTCAGTTTATTGTTCCTCTGAAGGTTCTCAGTCCGTGGTTCCTCTGAAGGTTCTCAGTCTATTGTTCCTCTGAAGGTTCTCAGTCCGTGGTTCCTCTGAAGGTTCTCAGTCTATTGTTCCTCTGAAGGTTCTCAGTCCGTGGTTCCTCTGAAGGTTCTCAGTCTATTGTTC